TGAGAGACTCCTATAGTCAAGTGGGCGCAGCGATAGCCAACGTGACAGTTAGCTAAGCGCCAAATTGCACATGAAATCTGGACGTATGGAGGGATAAAGTTTACAGCTCTAGACTGAAAAGCGGGATCTCTGCATAGTTCGTTTACCACCCTTTCGAACGTAGTGCGGTTCATACGGTACATGGCGCGATAGCTGGTTCGTGGATTGTCGTCATCAGTCAAAAAAGGGTGAGAGATGCGGAAGTAATGGTAGTTGGCGAATGAATGGCGATTGTTGGCCGGCTCAGTTGGGTATGTTAAATGAGCTTGAATGAGAAAAGGCGTCAACTCAAAGAGAGAGGGCGAATCTAAAAACGTGGTCTTGTAATAAAGAAACACCTGTTCGTTCAATGCTATTTGACTCTCAATGAGCTGCTGGTATTCAGCGAGAACTAAGTTGCGATGGTTGCAAATAAGTTGGTAGTAGTAATATAATTTATCGTTGTAAGACATTTTTAGTATTTGTTATGAAAGAAAAGAATTCCCACACAAAATGAGTGATGTGATTTTAGTACTTTTTCGAGTTAAAATGATATTTTAATGTCAGAAAACATTTTTTAAAATTTGACCCCTCCATAGTGGTGGGGTCAAATATTTTTAATTAAAATCAAAGATTTAAAATTTTAAATAATTTGCTTGAGAACACCCTTAATGATTTTTTAATTTTTTGTCAATTTACTTCGTGGTAGATAAGCCTCTTTTTCGGAAAATTATTTACCATCTACCAACAAATATAAAAATTCTACTGACCAATTAATCCAAAGTTACAAATTGTTACAAATTGTTACAAATCCAAAAACGTCCATACTCAAGCTGCTTTTTTAGATAGTATGACGTAAAGTTAATGCTGAACAACATTAGACTCAGACATTTTCCCCCAAAATCAAATCCCGACCATATACCGATCAATCTTTGCTAAAGTTTCAAATTGTTACAAATTGTTACAAATATAAAAATTTCCATACTCAAGCCGGTGTTTTACATAGTATGACGTAAAGGTATATGCTGAACAACATTAGACTCAGACATTTTCCCCCAAAACCAAATCCCGACCAGATACCGATCAATCTATGCTAAAGTTACAAATTGTTACAAATTGTTAGAGCATCCCCAACGGTTTTTGAATTCCAAATGTAAAATAGGACTGTTTTCCATCTGTTAAAATAAAATAGAACAGATCGACGCCAACGGTTGTAGCTAAATTTATAATCCCGTTCCTGATTTTATTTTCTTTTCTGTTCTTTTTTAAATTTTTTTGTTACAAAAATGAGTAATAACTTTGACATAATTGACAACAATGATATTGAAGATCAACTTATCCAAGAAGCTCTTCAGTATCTTATACAACTTACCGAAGATACACCCAAGAGAGGTGGATCCGTTCCTGGTCGCCGCTATGTTAATAGAAACCGTGCTGCCGGGCATGAACGTCTTTTCAACGACTACTTTTCCGATGACCCTGTTTATACAGACCAACAGTTTCGTCGTCGTTTTAGAATGAAGCGTGATCTGTTTCTGGAAATTGTCGAAGCAGTTCGATTAAAGGATGAATACTTCACCCAAAAACCGGATGCTGCTGGAAAGCCTGGACTTTCAACGATCCAGAAAGTGACCGCAGCTATGCGTCAATTAGCTTACGGTGTATCATCGGATTCCGTTGATGAGTACATCAGACTTGCTGATTCCACAGCCATGGAATCATTGAAGCACTTTTGCCATGCGATTGTGGCAATTTATGGGGACGAATATTTGAGAGCCCCAAACAGCGAGGATGTCAAGAATCTTTTGGCAATCAATGAAGAGAGAGGATTTCCGGGTATGTTGGGGTCAATTGATTGTATGCACTGGACGTGGAAAAATTGCCCAACTACCTGGCATGGCATGTATACCGGTAAAGAAAAAATGCCAACATTGATTCTCGAAGCTGTTGCTTCCCAAGACCTTTGGATCTGGCATTGCTTTTTTGGTCTTCCGGGATCATTGAACGATATCAATGTCATCAATCGTTCCCATGTATTTGACCCCTTGATACATGGTGTTGCTCCTGAAGTCGAGTTCTTCGTCAATGGCAATAGATACGATAAGGGGTACTTTCTCGCAGATGGTATTTATCCAACTTGGTCGACTTTGGTGAAGACAATTGCAGTGCCTACGTCGCAAAAAGAGAAGGTACCAAGAGTAACAAAGATAATTTATAAAAAACTAATTTACTTGGACTTTAATAGTGTTTTGCTAAGGCACAAGAAAGTGTGCGAAAGGACGTAGAACGTGCATTTGGTGTACTGCAAGCACGTTTTGCTATTATTAAATGGCCTGCTAGACTTTGGGACTTTATCGATCTCAAGGCCATTATGCAAACATGTATCATATTACATAATAAGATTGTAGAAAACGAACGTGGTCAGGATCTTGGAACAGACTACCACATGCATTCTTTTCATGGACAAGCTTACCCTGATATGAATGATCCCGAAGCCTTTGCTGCTTTGGTGAGCCGTTTGGTTGCTTTAAAAGATAGTGATACACATAATCAGTTGAAAAAAGACTTGATCGAGCATCACTGGCAAAGACAGGGCAATATGTAGTACTTTGTTTCAATTTTATTTTTTTATTTTTTAAAAGTTTCTATTTGTCTTCTTCCAATCAGTCTTCTAATCCGTCTTCTACTTCTTCTACTTCTTCTACTACATCTTCTACCACATCTTCTACTTCTTCATCAGACGATTCGTCAGATGGTTGAGAAAGTATTTTCTCCTGTTTTTTCTCGAAGTACGCACGCTTACGAGGGTCAGTCATGACCGAAAGATCCATCGACATGATTCTTTCATCTCGAACTCTCTTGTCGAACCTCATCTTCTTGTTGGTTACTTGAACAGCCAACTTGTTCTGAAGTAACTTCTTCTGGTTCAACTCCAGAAGATCCTTCAAACGGGCGGCGATGCTTTCACCTACCTCGTTTTGGCGCTCACGCTGCTGGAGTGCCTTCAGCTTTTTACACCCCATTGGGCGTGTTACATCCCCAGAAGAAGAACCCGTCTCAGTGTCTTCAATGACTTCAAGACTGCCATTGTTTTTTCTCTTAGTTACAACAGGCTTAGGCATGTTGTACATGGCCCACTTTGGCTCAGCGGATAAGATTTGCCAACAGTGTTCCAAAACAAAAGGAGCACCGTTTTTGGTCGACGTTTTGTATAGAGCATACGCCTTATGGACCTATTATGTAAAATAACAATTTAGTTCTGCTAGAATTAAGCTATAGCCATCTTACCAAATCCTGAGGACTTGATCCACTTTGCTGCACACTTCTCAAAAGAGTTTCGTAGCAGCCGGTGAACTTTTGCACGCTGGGATTGATGGTGTTCCAACGGCTGGTTACGGCAGCACTGGTACGTTCTTCGACAGCATTGTCACCGATTTTGGCATTGTAGTCGGTCTTAATGCGATCCCAAAAACTTTTGCATGTCTGACCTTTACCAATGACACCATCGGTAGCAATGGCGACAAACGAAAGGCACAACTGTTGGTCTTCGGCTCTTGACCAATTTGCTCCACGTCCTGCCTTTTTGGGAAGCTCAGGGATTGTTACTGTTTCGAAATTATCGCTCATGTCAAAAAAATTAAGGGACTAGAATAAAAGAAGAAATTTTCTAAATTTATTGATTCAATTGGAAATTTAGAATATTTGTGATAAAATTTTTAAAATATTCTATTATCCAATTGACCGTTGGGGTTAAATTATTCTAAATCTTTGTGCTATTTTGGAATAAAATGATTTTTTCACACACCGTTGGGGATGCTCTTACAAATACAAAAAGGTGCATACTCAAGCCGCTTTCTTACAGGGTATGACGTAAAGTTATACGCTGAACAATATTAGAATGAGACATTTTTCCCTTAAATCAAATGCCGACCAGATACCGATCAATCTATGCTAAAGTTACATATTAATACAAATTGTTACAAATACAAAAAGGTGCATACTCAAGCCGCTTTCTTACAGGGTATGACGTAAAGTTATACGCTGAACAATATTAGAATGAGACATTTCTCCCTTAAATCAAATGCCGACCAGATACCGATCAATCAATGCTAAAGTTACAAATTGTTACAAATTGTTACAAATATAAAAACTTCCATACTCAAGCCGGTCTTTTACATAGTATGACGTAAAGTTATATGCTGAACAACATTAGCCTCAGACATTTTCCCCCAAAACCAAATCCCGACCAGATACCGATCAATCTATGCTAAAGTTACAAATTGTTACAAATTGTTACAAATATAAAAACGTCCATACTCAAGCCGGTCTTTTACATAGTATGACGTAAAGTTATATGCTGAACAACATTAGACTCAGACATTTTCCCCCAAAACCAAATCCCGACCAGATACCGATCAATCTATGCTAAAGTTACAAATTGTTACAAATTGTTACAAATATAAAAATGTCCATACTCAAGCCGGTCTTTTACATAGTATGACGTAAAGTTATATGCTGAACAACATTAGACTCAGACATTTTCCCCAAAAATCAAATCCCGACCATATACCGATCAATCTATGCTAAAGTTACAGATTGTTACAAATTGTTACAAATATAAAAACGTCCATACTCAAGCCGGTGTTTTATATAGTATGACGTAAAGTTATATGCTGAACAACATTAGACTCCGACATTTTCCCCAAAAATCAAATCCCGACCATATACCGATCAATCTATGCTAAAGTTACAAATTGTTACAAATTAGGTGCTCTCAAGATCGGAAACCGAAAATAAATAGCCCATTTTTTATACAAAAATAGTGAAAAAAGTCTCTGAAATGTAGAGCTAAATTTGGGCAAAATAATACATATACATATAAGGAATCAAATAAAAACATGATCAAAGTGATCTTGTTTTCAAAATAGTTTACTTGAAAAGGAAATGATAAAATAACGAACTTCTTTAAATCCAGTGTTTTTTTATTTTTATTTTTCTTTCCCTTTAATTTGTCAAATACATTTTATCACTTACCTTACTATGAACAATACCGAAGCTAATAACAATGCCCCCAACAACGTACGTGGTCGTGGACGCGGTCGTGGAAATGGACGTGGAGGCAGACGTGGACGTGGCAGACGCGCTGGCACTTTTGTGTTTGTTGTCGATCCTACCGTTCAGCAAAACACCACTCCTGTTAACAACGGTAACACCGAAGCTGACAGTAACGCCAATGTCGATGATGACGATGAGCCTGAACAACCATCTTCACGGTCCTACAATGTATGGCCTGATGTTGCTATTTGTATCCTCCTTGAAATTATGGCTGGTACCTACAGCTACTTGTTGAGAAGAAGCGATACTGCCTTAAAGCAGCTCATCTGTGTACATTCGGCTGCTTTGCTTAAGGAAAAGTTAGCTGAGAATGCTAGCACCGATGTACTCAGGGCTTTTTTGGCAAACATCAGCGAAACAAGTATGCAAAGAAAGTGGGCAGATATGAAGCAGCGTTTTACCAGAGTAAGAAATGCAGCAAGAGAAACCGGAGTTGGTGGAACTGTTCCAAACATGCCTTATTACGAAGAAATTGCTAAGATTACTCAGGATGATCCAAGCATCCAGCCTGAAGTTATCTACGAAAGCATCAACATGGAAGAGAGTGGTATCCGGTCTTACAGACGATTCAACGACGACAATTTGATGAATGCTATTGGATCCGATGGCCCCGAAACAACTTACTTGGCACCTACAGAAGTTGATCAACTTGTAATTCAAAAAGCATTTGCTGATCGATATCCTGCTAGAGATTCTACCAACAATGAAGGACCTGCAGTGCCATCATTTAATGAATCAGCATCCGCACCTCCACCACCAACAACAGCACCAGCAACAGCACCCACACCAACACCAACACCAACAGCCGTACCAACCTCAACACCAACAACCGAACAACCGAACAACCAACACCAACACCAACACCAACACCAACACCAACACCAACACCAACACCAGCACCCACACCCACATCAGCATCCGCAGCACCACCAACATCTACAGGCACAACACCTCCACCACCACCTTCATTTGCACCTCCACCTCCATATACATCCGCACCACCTCCACCTCCATACATCCCTCCACCTTCATCTGCACCACCTCCACCAAGATCTGCCCGTACATCGAGAAATAGTCGAACCTCTGGTGAGCAGTCTTCATCAACTCCTGATCCTATTGAAGCTGCTCGTCAGTTGTCAGACGAGCATATGGCACGTGCCCGCCAACTTGGTGTAGAGATGATGGATCGCATGGCAGCATCGCAAAGGGAAGATCGAGAACAAAGACTTCTCGATGTTGATAACATGCTGCAACGTATCAGTCGTACTCGACAAATTGCATTGGAAGATATGCAAGCAAGACGGCGACAAGAGACCAGAGAGAGATACCGTATGTTCGAAGAAGTAAGAAGTAGACGAGAGGCTGACATGGAAGAGCATAGACGTAGACGTATGTCTGATATGGAGACTATCCTGAATAGATTTGCAGCCATTCGAAGAGGTGATAGTGATACCAATCTTAATGGTTCATCTTCTACTGACAATAATCATTAATTAAATAAAATAAAAATTTTAATTCATTAAAACCTTTTGAAAACTATGTAAGTCTATCTGTTCCCCTCATGATATTGTTTCTTCTTAAGATAGACATTGCCTTAAGACGGCGCATCCCGGCTGCGTCGATGGTAGCGCTGGTACCATCAAAAGGAAGAGGGGGTTCAAAATTCACCTCGTTTTCATACTGGTTTCGGCGATCTGCCTCAACAAAACCCTCGAAATCTAATCCTCCATCCAACACTGCCTCTTCAATGTCGTTTTGATTTATACAAATGTTGTGTAAATCACAGCAAGATATGATAGTTTTGGCCATTCTATCAACACTAAGCATATACAAATGCTTCCAAAGGAATCTCCACCGGGATGTGAGTCCACCAAATGCATGTTCTATTTTTATGCGAGAACTAGAAAAGATTTCATTGAAAATCTTTTCTTCTGCAGTGCTTTCACGTCGGCCATGAAATGGAACAATGAGGTTTGGCAGCAAAGGGTAAGCCGAATCTAGGTCACATCATTAATAATTTGTACACTATGGTATGATTAATGAGTTTACCTCCCAAAATATAAGTGTTTGCGGGACACCATCTGGCCGCATCAAACAAAAGTTTATGATAGATCACACTGCTAGTAAACACTCGGGCATCATGGTTTCTGCCTTAATATAATAACAAACGGTAAGCTGCTATATCATTTTTTATCCTTCCATACGAACTTACCGGAGTGCCCAGTTTTTACGTACATGAACCGAGTACGGGCATCGCATATGGCCATTAAGTTCATAGATGCGTGGCTCTTTCTATCGACATATGCATTTCCGTTAATTGCTGGCTTTTGAATGACGACCAGCTTGCCATCAATCGCACCTAGTACACCAGAAAGTTTTGTGGCATCAGGTCCACCAAGTTCTGAAAACTCACGAGCATTGTTTAAAGCCCTATCTCTGTCGTCGATAGGCCACGTTATAATTTCGGGAGTAATCTCCAACATGGCATCAATGAATCTGTTTGTGAAATTATTAAACGATCCGGCAGTTACTCCAAGATGAGTTTCAGCAATGCGATAACCAAAATGGGTGTTGGCAAATCTCCAAAGCACACACGCAACTTGGACTTCAACAGAGTATCCACCGCGCAAAATCGATCCGAGATAAGCAGAACATCTACTTAAACGATTGACGAGCCACTCAAAGGTACTCTTGTTAACACGATAATGTGCTCTATAACTGTCGCGGCTGTTACGATCATCTGACAGGTTAGGGTGCTTGATTGTCCAGTAAGTTTCATACGTGTCCATACGCTCGGTTCTAACAACCCTTCTGTGGACTTCTCTGGTCATCATCCAAGGGCTGCTTATAAAAATATAATAAAAATGTCATAGTTGACAAGAGCGGTTGCATGTAAAATTGTTTCCCTGATCCAAAGTTCGAACAAGGAAAAGACATCATGGTTGCCTTGGGTGCGGGCGAAGTCTGCAACAACGCGCTCTTCGGCAATGGCTACCTCTTGTTCAAGCATTTGCTCTTCCAAATCGTACTCTTCGTCCATTGCACTGATTTCGTCCACCAAGGCATCGAAATATTGATCTTCGTCTTCGAAATGTTCAGCGTCATCTTCCATCCAAAGTTGTTCTTGCATCATGTCGAAGAAAGTTTCGTCAATTGGGTTCATGTTAAATAGGTACTTTAAAAAAATTAAGATAAGCGAAAAGGAAATATTTATTTTTTATTTTCTTTGATTTAATAAAATCACGTTGGTCCTTTAGTAGATTCGAAAGTGAAAAGCTGTCACGTCATCACCTGATCATTGAATTTTATTTTATTGTCTAATTTAAGAAATGGGGTACACTCCCAAAAAAGGCTCGATCACCATTCCGAATTTTACCTTGAGAGCACCTATTGTTACAAATATAAAAATGTCCATACCCAAGCCGGTCTTTTACATAGTATGACGTAAAGTTATATGCTGAACAACATTAGACTCAGACATTTTTCCCAAAAATCAAATCCCGACCATATACCGATCAATCTATGCTAAAGTTACAAATTGTTACAAATTGTTACAAATATAAAAATGTCCATACTCAAGCCGGTCTTTTACATAGTATGACGTAAAGTTATATGCTGAACAACATTAGATTCAGACATTTTTCCCAAAAATCAAATCCCGACCATATACCGATCAATCTATGCTAAAGTTACAAATTGTTACAAATTGTTACAAATATAAAAATGTCCATACTCAAGCCGGTCTTTTACATAGTATGACGTAAAGTTATATGCTGAACAACATTAGACTCAGACATTTTCCCCCAAAACCAAATCCCGACCAGATACCGATCAATCTATGCTAAAGTTACAGATTGTTACAAATTGTTACAAATATAAAAACGTCCATACTCAAGCCGGTGTTTTACATAGTATGACGTAAAGTTATATGCTGAACAACATTAGACTCAGACATTTTCCCCAAAAATCAAATCCCGACCATATACCGATCAATCTATGCTAAAGTTACAAATTGTTACAAATTGTTACAAATATAAAAACGTCCATACTCAAGCCGGTGTTTTATATAGTATGACGTAAAGTTATATGCTGAACAACATTAGACTCAGACATTTTCCCCCAAAACCAAATCCCGACCAGATACCGATCAATCTATGCTAAAGTTACAGATTGTTACAAATTGTTACAAATATAAAAACGTCCATACTCAAGCCGGTGTTTTACATAGTATGACGTAAAGTTATATGCTGAACAACATTAGACTCAGACATTTTCTCCCAAAACCAAATCCCGACCAGATACCGATCAATCTATGCTAAAGTTACAGATTGTTACAAATTGTTACAAATATAAAAACGTCCATACTCAAGCCGGTGTTTTACATAGTATGACGTAAAGTTATATGCTGAACAACATTAGACTCAGACATTTTCCCCAAAAATCAAATCCCGACCATATACCGATCAATCTATGCTAAAGTTACAAATTGTTACAAATTGTTACAAATATAAAAATGTCCATACTCAAGCCGGTCTTTTACATAGTATGACGTAAAGTTATATGCTGACCAACATTAGACTCAGACATTTTCCCCAAAAATCAAATCCCGACCATATACCGATCAATCTATGCTAAAGTTACAAATTGTTACAAATTGTTACAAATATAAAAACGTCCATACTCTAGTCGCTGTTTTACATGATATGACGTAAATGAATACGCTGAACAACATTAGACTGAGACAATTTCCGCTAAAATCAAATCCCGACCAGATACCGATCTATCTATGCTAAAGTTACAAATTGTTAAAAATTGTTACAAAAATAAAAACGTCCATACTCAAGCCGCTGTTTCCATAATATGACGTAAATTTGTACGCTGAACAACTTTAAACTGAGACATTTTCCACTAAAATCAAACGCAGACCAGATAGCGATCAATCAATGCCAAAGTTAGAAATTTTCATAACTTGTTACAAATCGAAAAATGTCCATACAAAAGCCGCATTTTTACATAGTATAAGGTAAATATATAGGCTGAAGAACCTTAGACTAAATGGTATTCCTCTGAAATCTAATCTCGACCAGATACTGTTGAATTTTTCAACTGTTACAAGCTGTTGTCAAGCAAAAAAAGATGATACTCTCCTCCATAACGAAATTATAACCTTAACTTTTAATATTCCTCGACAAAAAATGTTCAAAATTCATAGTAACCATTTAAACAATTAACCCACCCTCAAAGGTTGGACTAACTCTCAAAATGGATTTGCAAACGCGTCTGATGTAATAATTTCTTCATTCAAAAAATACCGAAATGACCCCACTGGTTGACAGTTCGACCATGGCGATTTTGAAATTTTTTTTTTTCATTTCTTTTTTCTTAATAATAAAAATCTGCAAATAATTGAGTTACTACCTTTATAAACAATGTTAAGCACGATCAATTACAACCAACCTTCAAGCCCAAGTGCGTCCACTCCCAACGCCCCCGAATATACTACTCCTATTAACAATGAGAGAACAAGAGGTCCAGGTTGGAATAGAGCAGAAGAGTTGCTGTTAATCGAAATTTACGATAACAATTTTAATTCCGTTGAAAACAACGAAAACCGAGCAAGAGAAAGGAGAGAAGTAATTCGCTATGTCATTAGAGCACATTGAAAAGGCTCTTCGTAGGAATATGAGAAGTCCCACGTTTGATGAACAAAAAAAACAAGTGAAAGGGTATGATGAGATGCTTCAAAGCGGGATTTCCTAGACGTCAGTCAACTGGTGAAGCAGGTTTTGAAACAGAAGTTATTTATAGCAAGCTGGAGAATATTATAAAAAAGTATCCAACAATTTTTGCACCAGTCACTTACTCATCTCATTCCATACAGTTCGTTCACGATACTAATGGTGTAAATCAAGAATCATGTCAGGAGCGGGACAAGAGCAGAACAGAATAATTATTAAGGTGAGGACAAGACAAAGAGAGATTATATATTTATTAGTATTAATATATGTACATAAAAGAAGGTAGTTAGAAAAGGGTTTATTCAGAGAAACAGGAAAAATAGATAAGATCTTGAATACAGAAATAAGAATTAAGAAACATGCTATTATTTATATTAACGAGATCGCGACCCCAGCCCACTTCGGTAATTTTTTGACCTTCGCTTCGCTACGGTAAAAATAACCTACGTTCATGCTGGGGGCGATCTCGCGCCTGCAGCGGGCCACCGACGCCACTCAATGTTTATAAATGGGACAAAAATAGATTTTATTGATAATAAATATTTTATGTTTAATTTTGTGTTCGAGTTAGTACTTCAGTAAATACAACGTTGTCTGTGAGTCTTGAAAACGACTGCCCTTTCAGTAACATTACTTTGAGATTAGCAGGGTTACGGACCCGTGATAAAGCAACATAAAGTTGACATTGCGTGAAAACGGGTATGATCAGACAATTGGTGCAAAAGAAAGAGTTTGGCCTTGGTCGGAACTTACAG